AGTTTCCTCAAATGTTAAAAGGAAATAATAGTACCTGCCACATAGGATCACTGTGAGAATTAAAAAGACGTATATAAAGGGTTTGACACTGTGCATAGGACGCGGTTAGCACTTGATAAGTGTTACCTAATGCTACTGTATTTTATTATCTATCTTTCACCTGGCACAACAGGAAGTCTTTTCATTAAAGAAAATAGAAATAGTTAGTAAAGTAGCATGAAGTACTGAAATAAACCTTTGTCATTCTTTTGATTGCTCAGCTCAAAATGCGTTTCCTGAGTCTCTGCAGAAAGCCTCTCACTAAGAAGCTAAAAAAGCCAGACACAGGCTGAATGTTCAGGACTCCTTTGCAGCTAGGATTTATAGCCTATCATCCAGGCCTAGTGAAAGGAGCCAATGATGCCAGGCAGCAGAGATGTGAGAACTGTAGCAGTCATGCCCACTTTTCCCAGGGACAGCAGGAATGATGTCCCAGCAGCAGCATGTAGGGTCACTGCTGGCTGTGCAAGATCAGTGGCATCTTCACAGGCTGTCATGAGCAAGAGAGTACCCCCAAAAGGAGTCACCTTATACATGTTTGTGTCTTTCCATAATGCCAGGTTTATTAGTGGAGACCTCCCCAATGAGCGAGGAAAGTTACACACAGGTTACACACAGCAGGGGGAGCTTACGCATAGAAGCAGCAGAGCAAGCCACCAGCACAAAGTTTTGGTCATGGGTGTGTCTGTGGATCAAGAGTTGGGGGTCAGTCTCAAGCCAGGCAGCTACAGTGATGGCACACATCCGATGGGGTGAAATTCCTGTTGGGCTCTGAGTACGACCTGTGATACAGCCAAGCTGGAAATCATGGTCTGAGCTCTAAGTTCTTATAGCCCACAACAGTCAGTGGTCCCACTTACATCAGTATCCAATGGAGTTCTCTTCTCTGAGCGTCCAAATTTGCAGTTTGGGCTCTTTAGGGCCCCTTCCACCGGCGTTCCCCTTACACCCCTTCCCTCAGCCTTGGACATGTTGCAACTTGACATAAATGTCATGGCTGATAGTGACTCCATATTGGATTCCAAAAGGTGTCTAAAGGTCTGCCCTGCTCTTGCTCTTGCTCTATATATAGGCTATACTGGTAGCATGACTGTAGAGCTTGGTCCTTGTACGTTGCCAAGGTCTCCTTGTACCTGCTTGTTTTCAAGCCCTATCTCTATCCTCTCTAAAAATGCTTTAAATGATCCATTGTCCTTTTTTGCTTCTATCAGCCTGGGTTACTTGGTGCAAATTAACCTGCCAGACCAATACAGGTGATCAGATTAGATGGTTTAGTAAGCACACTATTTCTACATTGTTTTATTAGTGTATTGATTTGTAGTGTGTGTCTTCTATTTGGCTCGTATTTAGGGATGATTTTTCTTGGATGATTTTTGTTTTACTAATGCTGAGATGTTAAAGATTTTTGCTGTTGTCTTGTTTGGCAGTTAGCCTTCCTCTCCTTTCTTTCCTTCTACCCCTTTATTTGCATGGGGAATGTGGGCCAGGATAATCGAATTTTAATTGATTGGAATCTATCTTTAGGTAGAGGAATAGGCAACTAATGAGTATAAGAATAAAAGAAAATGAAGGGAGAAAAACAAAATCAGTATCTTCTGCAGGAGGTTCTACAACAGAACTGTGAGCTCATTTAATTTAACTGTTTTATTATGGATAAGAAACGTACAACAACAAAAAATATAGATAATGTGTTCAAGATATAACTAACCACATCCTCACACTCCTAGTCCAGGGCTCCTGCCTCTATCCATTTTACCAAGAGGCAAATGACCTGAAAGCAACCTGAGATCAGGTTAAATTCAGCCCAGTTTATTATATTTTTTAAGTCTATGGTGTTGTATGATAAGAATTTCCATTTTCAAGAGATTTTATAATTTAAAAAATTCCTCAGCTCATTAAATTCTCTCAACTGCTCTAAGATACTCAGCACTTAAAAAAAAAAAAAAGAGATGTTGGTATTCATGTCTTGATAAAATTTTTAACACCTCTCCTACCTGTGCCTTCCCTGTCTCTCTTTTTCTATTTGTTTTGCTTTTGAAGTTGTGGCTACAAAATGAGTCAAGAAGAAAGTAATATTAATGTATTTGAACAAAAGAGTCTGTTGATTAGAACCATTATAAAAATATATTGGATGTGATATTAACCTCCATTTTACAAGTGAGGAAACAGAAGCTCAGAGATTAAGTGACCTGGCTAATTTAAATAACCACTAAATGGCAGAGCCCTGACATGGTTCATTTAAAAAAACATAATATATACTGAGCATTTAATGTGTCAGGCTGGGCAAACAAGAGATAGAGCTAGTTAACCCCTAGATAACCAGAAATTTCTATAACCAGAATATCACATTCAAAACAACTATTATTGAAGTTTTTACTGTACTATATGCTGTAATCTTAGCAGCTGGCCCAAAATAAATATTTTTCTACTTACACAAGATTCACATAGCCAGATCTCTTTGGAGACTGATCTTGAAATACATTAGACCGAAAGGTCTAACTCTGAACCATGTTTTGCTTTATTTTTCTGGAATCTCAAAAGTAAAATGGAAAGCTGTGATTCTCAAAAGTCCCCAAATGAACAAAATACTGACCATATGAAATTGACTGCATCACTGTATAATCATTTACTTTTTTATGGCATAAGATTTTTATCGTTAGAATTTGCCAGCTAGACTCAGCTTACATGACCCCAATTTTGTTGGCAATATCCAAAACACCCTAGTTGGGAGCCAATACAACATATGCTTTCTTCTCTCCATCAGACCTGATCAGGGTGTTGATCTTGGCCATTTCAGTGTCACAGAGCTTCTTCACAGCCTGTTTGATCTGGTATTTTGTTGGCCTTGACATCTACGATGAACACAAGTGTATTGATGTCTTCTGCCTTCTTCATGGCTGCCTCCATAGTCAGGTGGGACCTGATGCCATAGCAGTCAAGCTTGTTTCTCCTGGGGGCACTCTTTTGAACCGAGGTGTCTTCCTCTGTGAGAAGGTGGGTGATGCGTGCATCTTCTTTTTTTGTGATTCTGGAAGCCTTTCATCACTGCTTTCTTTGCCTTCAAGACCTTTACTTGGCTTTGGCTTTGGGAGGGGCAGGGGCTTCCTTTATCACTTTCAGCACCATCTTTGTGAAAAGTTGTGTAATCAATTGTTAAAACCTAGATTTAGTGAGCTATTTTTTTAAATTTTCATTTATTTATTTTTAGAGAGAGGGGAAGGGAGAAAGAAGAAACATCTATGCATGATTGCCTCTCACATGCCCCCTACTGGGGACCTACTGCAACCCAGGCATGAGGCCTGATGAGGAATCTAACCGCCAACCTTTTGTTTCTGAGGGAGGCATTCAATCCACTAAGCCACACCAGCCAGGGCTTAAGAAGATACTTTCATTTTTAGTCTAATGGCATACAGAGAGGAAATTTTATTCTCTGCATAGTTTTTCCAAATTCTTTGTATAGATTATAAAAAAATGCTTATGACAGGAAACTAAGCTAATTCTCTTGAAACAAAGTAAATATATATGGGGGGACCCCCACCAAAATGGTATTTATTAAAAATTGTGCACTTGTATTTACATGTTTAAACCTCAGTCACCTTCAAAGTATTCTCAATTCTATGCAATACACCTATTGAGACTTTTTTCCACTGTTCAAAACAATTTTTGAGCTCATTGATTTTGATGCCTTATAGTGCTTCTGCCGTTTTTTGTCTCGCTTCTTCCACATGTACAAAATGTTTCCCTTTGAGGACTTTTTTCATCTGGGGAAACAAAAAAAAAAGTCACTCGGGGTGAGATTGGGTGGATAGGGAGGGTGGGACATGGGAGTCATGCCATTTTTGGTCAAAAACTGCTGAACATTCAGCACGATGTGGTAGGTGCGCTCAAAAATCACCCATCATGAAATGGGCTAATGTGTTGAAAGAGTCTTAAAAAAGAATTCACTGAAGCTGAACGTAGGCTCTCACAACACCAGCTGGGTGCACTGATACAGAGGGGTTCCTGCAACACTCACCCAGTGGGGGAAGCCTGTACTACAAGGGGCCTGCCCTCCAGAAGATAATTCCGCGGTTTTGAGCGGGGGGTACCTTCTGGTATATATACACAAACTACACGCACATACACAAAATTTTTAACAACTCTCCTACCTCTGACTGCCCTGTCTCCCTTTTTCCACTTGCTTTGCTTTTGAAATTGTAGCTACAAAATGAGTCAGGAAGAAAGCAATATTAATGTATTTGAACAAAAGGATCTGTTGACTGCAACCATCATAAAAATATATTGGATGCTGTTATTAACCTCCATTTTACAAATGAAACTACATATATAACATGCGTGACATTGCACATATAACATATTACACATATGTATCATATATTACATATACACGTAGTTTGTGTATAATGGAAAACGCCATTCTTGTATATTTAGCTAAAACAGACCGTTAATAATAACTCTTAAATATTGATAAGATCCATGATTTTCAACCAAACTTCATTGCCGCTTTTTCCTCACAAAATTAAAAGAAAAATGGTGAGAGCTTTTAAGTGAAAAGTAGCGGTGCTGGCATCATAGGGCAAAGACAGAAAAAACGGTTCGGGTGTGCGCGGGCAATCTCCCAGCTGTGACAAAAACAACAAAAACTTTTCAACTAACTTTAGGTAGCTGTCAAGCCTTGTAGACATCTGGTGGATACAGGTCGTTTTGTCAAACGATCGTTTCCTTTTTCAGCAGCGCATCAGACGACAGCTCAGGGACCCAAGATCAACCCGCGGGGTGCCCCCTACCCCCAGGCTGGGTCCGCGGGGCCTTCCCAGACACGGCCCCCTCCGGCCACCGTGAGGTCCCGCCCTTTCCACCTCCCACTTCCTGATAACTGCTCCCATTTGCACCGCCTTCTTGGGGCCTGATTGGCTTTCGTGGCAGCCGCTAACGGCTCCTGAATTTAAACCAGAGCCTTGGCACCGGGCGCGGAGCTCCGGGAGCTGGGTGGTGGTCCCCCCCACTCTGAAAAAGCGGTAAGTCCTTGATCTGTGGTTTTTGGTATGGCTGCCCTCTGTCCGGCACGATCCGTGCCTTTCCCGGGCCGAACCTCCAGCCGTTGCGCCCCCGAGTTTTGGGTCCGCCGAGGCCGGCGCGGTCACGCCCACTCTGCGCCTTTACGGCCTCCCGAACCGCTGCCCCAGCGCCGGTAGGGCCGGGCTCCTTGTGGGTGCATCTAAATCGCTGCCCTTGTCTCTGAAACTTGAACGTCCGTCTGGACGAAGGGGGCGATTCACCGGTTAGAAGGTCAGCTCCCTGGAGGAAGGGATTTCTGTCCCTGTGACTGCTCTGCTGCCTGATGGTAGAACAGTATCTAGACAGTTGTGAGCGCTCAATAAATATCTGTTGAGTCAACCTTAGAGACTGCTTCACCCAAGTTCTTGAAAGGGCCCTGTCCTTTGAAGCGCTGGTTTAGAAGGGAGACTAGCTGAAGGCGAAGGAGTGATGGAAGACCGGGAAGAACTAGAACAGGAACTGGTTTTGATGTTCATACAGGTAGTATGTGTGTAGGGAATAGGGACGGTGATTTTTATAGGTGAGGGATCCAATTCAGGAAAATTGGTTGTGGAGCTGAATATTTCTGATTTAGAGATAGCTGAGATACTGGCCAAACAAGAGCTACAGAGTAATAATAATTAGACGATAATAGTGTTGTCTGTGCGCCAGATCAAATATTAGGAACTGTATACGTTTGTTCATTTATTCCTCAGAATGAGGTGCCCTTATTTTCTATAATTTTCTAAATCTGGACATTGAGACTTGGAGGTATTAAGATACCGTAGCTATGAAATGTTGGAACTGGGACTCCAACACAGTCCAACCACAATCTGTAAAACCTCAATCCCTGTGTGTGGTAAGTCACCCTGGAATGGCGCTCCGAGGGCCTGGCTTCGGCTCCTGAAGTGGTACTTGGTCAGGTTATTCATGTGGATGATGACAGGGCAGTGTTAATGAAGGCTCTCTGATTTCGGCCGTCAGCATTTGAGTGGGTGAGTGATAGTGCCGTTTATTAAACGAAGGAACTAAGAACCAGTTTCTAAGAACCAGAACTAAGAACAGGGGAGGACTGTTAAGCTGTGGTTTCCTAGTTAGTAAAACGAGATTTGATCCTTCTGACTGGATTTTTTGGAAATGGACTAGATTTGTGTTAGGATCCCCTTCAGGTGTGCGAATGCAACAATTTGTGTGGAGTCCCTGTGTGTGCCTATATTCTACTATTTATAATGGATGGTGATCTTCTTTGATTTTACTTAAAGTTTCTTTTGAGCCTTCACTAAGGTTGGTTCCTGGTTTAATTTCCTCCCCTTTGAGAAATTTCTTCTAAAACAATCTTACCATTATTTGCTTGATATTTCTCAACATCTGCTCAACACTTTCAAAGGAGAGTCATTCCAATATTGGGCAGTGTTTACTATTAGAAATTTATTTATCTATAACCATTTCTTCAGCAAATGTATATTCTGGAGCTGCTATGTGCCAGGCACTCTTCTAGGCACTGAGGGTACAGAAACAAACAAATTTAATAAAAATCTACCTATTTTTGTCGTGTTTAATGTGCCCCTTTGTATAATGTACACCCGTGTTTTAGTACTAATTCCCATGTGTAATTCGTATTATGCATGGGAATTAGTACTACCCATGCATAATGCGCATCCTTATTTTCCCCTCAAAAATTTGGGCAAAAGTGCACATTATACACAGAAAAATACAGTATGTCCTCAAGGAACTTATATTTTAGTAGGAGAAGACAGGCAATAAATTAAATAAGAAAATTGTGTAATTTTATGTTAGACATTAAGTCAATGGTGAAAAAGAAAACAAGAAAAGAAATGGGGTCAGGTCAGCAATTTCAAATACTTTGCTCTGGGAAGGCTCACGAAGAAAGTGACTTTTGAGCAAAAACTTGAAGTGAGCATATTCTGCGATTACTTGAAAGAAGAGTGAGATGAAGGAAAAAAGGAATGCAGAGGTTCTGCAGTGGGAACTTGCCAAGGTGGCCAGCGTGGCTGGAGCTTACTGTGCAGAAGGAACAGTAGTGAAGAGGCCATTGAGGTGCTGACAGAAAATTGGGGAAAGGGAAAAGAATCAAATTGTGTAGTACTTGATAGGCCATTGTAAGGATTGTGAGTCTACTCATGACCGAGCCACAGGAGGGTTTTTTAACAGAGGAGTGACATGACTTTACTTAAGTTTAAAAAGGATCATTTTGGTTGTGTGGTTGAGAAGTTGGGGAGAAGGTGAAAGCAGGGACACCATTTAGGTAGTGGTAGCAACGGTGTACATGAGAGAGAATGGTAGCAGTAGAAATAGGGGTAAGCGGCTCCTGTGGCTGTGCTGTGAAAGTAAGGCCAGCATGGCTGAGGATAGTGTCGATACGGGATATAAGAGAAGAGGTGTCTGACCTGAGCAATGATAAGGTTGGAGTCGCCATTGAGTGAGATGGAGAGGACACAGTGGAGTGGGTTTGGCGGGGGGAGGTGTATTAGGACATGTTAAATTTAAGGTGCATATTAACCATCCAAGTTGAAAATGAGGGGTAGGCAATTGGATGAATAAGTCTGAAGTTGATTGGGGATATAAATTTGCAAATCATCAGCATTTAGGTTCAGAAGCCAGGATCCTGGATAATAGCCCCCCAGGGAATGTATGTAGATAGAAAATAGATGAGACTCAAGGACTAAACTCTGGGATGCTCCAAAAGTAAGAGTTTCCAAGAGCTGAAGAATAAGCAGCGGAAGAGACTTAGAAGAAGTGGTTAATAAGAAAGAAAACCCAGGAGAATGTGGTGTTTTAGAAGCCAGCTGTAGAAAGTATTTCAAGGGGAGAAAAATTTGATATTAAATATTTGCACATACGTCAAGTAAAATGAGAAATGGACATTGACTAGTGTATTTGATTTAGCAGCACAGCAATTAAGTGATTTTAATGATCATTTTGCATATAGTAGTGGTGAGAGCAAAAACTTGATTGGAGTGGGTCAAGAGAATGGAAGGGGATGGAGACAACGAAACTAAAGACAACTTTTTAAAGGAGTTTTGCAGTAAAGGGAAACAAATAGTATAGTAACATTCCAGAATCAAGAGATCACTGGTATTTTCTTAAAGGTTTCATTTTCATGCCTTTACACATGCCAGTCATTTTTCTGGAATATCCTTTGTAATCTTGATACCTGACAAAGTCTGTTTTTAAGACTTATTCATTCAACAAATATTTACCATGTTTATATTATTTTCCAGGCACTGTTCTATGATTTGGGCAATATATCAGTGAATAGGGCAGACCTTATGGAACTTAAAATGGGGGACTTCAACTCTAGTTAGGGAAGACAGGCAGTAAGTAAACGCTATAGTATATTAGATAGTGATTTAAATGCTATGGGAACCATCAAAAGGCTCTCTGTATCCATAATCCTGTCTCTGTTCTTCTTGTTTGCTTAGTTTGTTTTTTAGATTCAATTTTTGTTAGGTATGTATTTATTGCCATTTTATTGTGTATAATTTTAATCTTCCTTTTTTCTTAAATAAGTCCCTTTAACATTTCATATAATAATGGTTTGGTGATGATGAACTCCTTTAGTTTTTTCTCATTTGGGAAGCTCTTTATTTGCCCTTCGATTCTAACTGATATTTTTACTAGATAGAGCAATCTTGGCTGTTGGTCCCTGCTTTTCATGACTTTGAATGCATCTTGCCACTCCCTTCTAGCCTGAAAAGTTTCTTTTGAGAAATCAGCTCACAGTCTTATGGGAGCTCCCCTGTAGGTAACTAACTGCTTCTCTCTTCCTGCTTTTAAGATTCTCCCTTTATCTTTAATCTTTGGCCTTTTAATTATGATGTGTCTTGGCGTGGGTCTCTTTGTATCCATCTTGTTTGGGACTCTGTGCTTCCTGGCTTTGCATGTCTAGTTCCTTTACCAAAATCGGGATGTTTTCTTTCATCGCTTTTTCAGATAGATTTCCAATTTCTTGCTCTTTCTCTTCTCCTTCTGGCACCTCTATGAGGTGAGTGTTGGAATGCTTGAAGTTGTCCCAGAGGCTGCTTACACTGTCCTCATTTTTTTTGGATTCTTTTTTCTTCTTGTTGTCCTGATTGGTTGTCAGATGGGAGGTGGGTGTGGGAAAATGGATGAAGAGGTGAGGGGATTAAGAAACACAAATAGATAGTTACAGAGTAGCCATGGGGATGTAAAGTAGAGTATAGGAAATGGGGTAGCCAAAGAACTTACTCACAGGACCTATGGACATGAACAATGGTGTGGGGATGGCCTGAGAGAGTGGGAGGTGCTGAGCAGAGGCGGGCAAAAGGGGGAAAATTGGGACAACTATAATAGCACAATCAATAAAATATAATTAGAAAAATAAATGCTATGGGAAAAAATAGAGAAGTGTAAGAGCTCTCTGACATGCTGAGGGAAGGAGCTACAGTTTTGCATGGCCTCACTGAGAAGGTGACTTTTGAACAAAAAATTGAAGGAGGCAAGCGAATGAGCCATTTGTGCATCTGGAGGAGGAGTTCTCTCTGTAGAGAATAACCAGGACAAAGGACCTGAGGCTGAAGAGTGTGTGACATATGCTAGGAGTAGTGAGGTCTTGGTGGCCCCTGTGTCCCGAAAGGAATGGGCTAGGGGAGAGAAGGAGAGCTCAAACTAGAGAAATAGGAAGAAGAGAAAATGGCAGAGGGACTTCTAGACCATTGTAAGGACTTCGTTTTTTGTTTTTTCACTCTGAGAGAAACGGGAACCATTGGGGAGTTTAGATCTTCAGATGCAGTGAGGGCAGGAGTGACAGCAAGAGGGTAAGAAGCTGTAGCTGTAACTCCGGTGAGACATGTTCCTGCCTTGTTCTCGGTTGGCAGCATTGGAGGCACAGAAGTGGTCAGATTCTAAGTGTATTAGGAAGGTAGCTTGGGATGTGAGATATTTGGCCAGAGAAACTGGAAGGATGGAGTTGCCATTAACTGAAATGGGACAGCTCTGAGTGAGGCAGGTTTGAACAGTTTAAGTTTGCTGTGCTTGGTTTAGTTATCCAAGTGGAATTGTAAGTAGACCGCTGTGACTCCAGAGAAATTCAGGAAAGAGACTCCAACTGAGGACATAAATTTTTGAGTTCTTGGCCAGGTGGTATACAAGCCATGGCTGTGAAATCACCAGAGGAGTGAGCGTAGATAAAGATAAGTGATCCAAGGAGAGAACGTATTATAACTTGTAAGAATTTGTAAGAGACTGAAAAGGAGCAGCGAGTTAGGGAGGAAAAACCCAGGAATCTGGTGTCCTGTAAGCCAAGGAAAGATAGTTTTTGAGGAGGAAGAAGAAATTAACCATGTCAAATGCTGCTGATACATCAAGTTTGGTGAGGATTGAGGATGGAGCGTTAGAAACAGCAGCGTGTAGGTCACTAGAAACTTCGGCGAAAGCAGTTTTGGTGGGGTAGTTAGAATGCAAGCCTGAGTGAAGCAGGTTTGCAAGAGAATTGGAAACTGTAAGTATAGACGGTTCTTTCAAGGAGTTTTTGCAATAAAGGGCTGCAGAGAAATGGAATGGTAATCTGAGGACGAAGTGGGAACAAGTAAGGGTTTTTTAAGGTGAGGGAAGTAGTAGTATGTCTGTATGTTGATGGGAATGATCCAGTGGAGAAGGAAAAAATTGATGTAGAGAAGTGACTTGGAGTTACGCCTTTGAGGAGGCAGGCAGGCACCAGATCCAGTGTAGGGACCCCTGTCTACGTAAGGCAAGCCTGGCCTCAGATGGAAGGACGGATAGTTCACCCATCATAATGTGATAGAGGACAAATGGAGGAATACAGATGACAATAGATAGGTAATTGCATTTGGAGTTTTGGGAGAGTCCTCTACAGGTTGCTTCAGTGCCCTCGGAGAGTAATAGCGAGTGAGGATACGAAATGATCAGCTATTAAAAGGAGTGACCCAGGGGTTGACAGTTGGCAATCGCACTGAGGGGTAAGGGGATTATAGAGTCTAATGGCATTACATTCAAGGCTGGAGATTCTTTAGGGAAAAGGGGGGATGAATGGCCTGCAAGTATGAATTTGGTGCCTCCTTCCAGAGAGAGGGAGTGCTATGGATAAAAAATAGCCACCGCCTGACAGGACTGCAGAACCCATATCCTCCTGGGCGAGACTGGTTCAAGAAGATGAACGGAATGCTCAGGGAGGAGATTGAAGCTACAGGTTTTGGCCAATTGTGAGTTTCAAAGGCCTTCATAAGCTGGGCAGGGGTAACATATGGAGATTATATTCATTTCCTGTGACTTTGGTAAAAAATGACCACAAACTGGGTGGTTTAAAACAACAAAAATTTATTTTCTCACAGTTCTGGAGGTCAAAAACCCAAACTGAGTATCACTGAGCTAAAATCAAGGTGTCTGCAGGGCCGCACTCCTCTGAGGCTCTAAAGACGAATTCATTCCTCACCTCTTTCAGCTTCTGGTGGATGCCAGCAATCCTTGGCTTCTGGCCACATCACTCCAGTCTCTGCCTCTTTCTTGTAAGGCTACCACTGAGGGCATTTGGGCCTGCCTAGATAGTCCAGGATAATCTCCCCATCATAAAATCCTCAATCACATCTGTAAAGACCCTTTTTCCCACATGAGATTTAGAATGACATGGTGGACTTAATAGGTAGGTTGTCATGGAGAGGCTGAGTATTGGGGGTTAGCAGGTGCAGGTGACTGGGCTTCCTTTAGATTTCTGCAGATGGAGGCAAGGAAGCTTGGGGAAGGAGAAGGGGGCTTGGGAGGTTGGTCTTGTCCAAGTACATTGCTCAACATCAATTGTATTTTCTAAGTAAAATCTTTTCTGATCCTTTTTTTCCAGTTCAGGCAGAGTTAGTCACTTTCTATGCATTGTGTATTATATTCATTATTCTTGTCATAATGTGAATATCATTTTGTTTCCACTATTAGACTTTAAAGTCAAATAGATCATAACTCTAATAGACAAATAGACACGTTTAAGATTTCCTACCTACTCCTCCAACCCCACCCCCAAAATATGATTAGGCATATCTCTTCTGTTCATACCTCTAAGGTTACTCTTCGTACATTGTATCAACAAGTGCCTGTACCCACATTGGATTATGCATTCCATAATTATGCATTCTTATACAGCCATATCCTGTTGTCTGTCCCCAGCCTAGTCTCGATCCTGGCATGTTGATATAATACAGGTTTAAATGAAGGAAGAAAAAAAAAGTCATTCACCTTTTTTTGGAGTCTACTTTAAACCACTTTTTTAAAAGTATATTTTATTCATTGTGCTATTACAGTTGTCCTATTGTTTTCTCCCCTTTATTCCCCTCCTCCCTGCACCCCCCTCCCACCAGCACCCCCACCCTCCGCAAGTACATGTCTGTGGGTCGTACATATATGATCTTTGGCTTCTCCATTTCCTTTATTATTTTTAACCTCCCCCTGTCTATTTTGTACCTACTGTTTATGCTTCTTATTCCCTGTACCTTTTCTCCCATTCTCCCCTCTCCCCTCCCTGCTGAGAACCCTCCATGTGATCTCCATTTCTGTGACTCTGTTCCTGTTCTAGCTTTTTGCTTAGTTTGTTTTTGTTTTTAAGTTCACTTGTTGATAGTTGTGCGTTTGTTGTCATTTTAATGTTCATAGTTTTGATCTTCTTTTCCTTAGATAAGTCCTTTTTAACATTTTATGTAATACGGGCTTGGTGATGATGAACTCCTTTAACTTGACCTTATCTGGGAAGCACTTTATCTGCCCGTCCATTCTAAATGATAGCTTAGCTGAATAAAGCTGCTAAATGATAGCTTTGAGTCCCAGTTTCCTTCCCTTCACTTTTGGTTCCTTGTGTATTTTTCTTTATTTCACTTTGCATAGCCTTCACTTTTTACTCTATTTTGCCACCATACTCAACCATTTCTGTGACATTCCTGACCAGTGTTTTGAACTGTGCATCTGATAGGTTGGCTCTCTCTTTGTCACTGAGTTCTTTTTTTGAAGTTTTGATCTGTTCTTTCATTTGGGCCATATCTCTTTGTCTCAGTGCCCCTGTCACGTTGGAAGGGGCGGAGCCCCAGGTATTCACAAGAGCAGGGCAACCCACGTCACTGTGTTGAGGCACTGTATGTCAGGAAGGGGTCAGAGAGGGAACAGTGCAGCCTGCTTGTCTCTTGGCAGCTTTCAGTCACTTCCCCTGCAACCCACAAGCAAATTGAGCCCTTCTGATGCTGATTCCCCAGTGGGTGGGTTTGGGTACATTCTAGGACCCTGTGGGTCTCTACAAGGAACAGTCCTGTGAGGCTGGGAGTCTCCTGTCACCACAACCCCAACATGCTTTTACAGCCAGAGGTTTTGAGGCCTTAGTTTCCTGCGCTGGAACCCTGGGTTGCCTGGTCTTCCTCCCCAGTTGTTCCTACTCGTTAATCTGCATGCAAATGTGGGACCGCCAAGTGCTGTCTTGCCGGCCCAGTCCTCCAGCGGCCACCTTGCCGTGAGTCCCCTCCCTCCTGGCTGCCCATCTCCGTCCCTCCTGCCAGTCTGGATGAATGTTTCTTCTTTAACTCCTTGGTTGTCGAACTTCCATACAATTTGATTTTCTGGCAGTTCTGGTTTGGTTTTGTTTTTAAATTGGTTGTCGTCCTAATTTTGGTTGTACAAGAAGACAAAATATATCTACCTATGCCTCCATCTTGGCTGGAAGTCTCTACTTTAAACCACTTTTGATTACATTCATACTTTCAGATTCTATACAAAGGGTTTTATAAATACTTGTGTACAGACAAATTATATCATTTGTCATGATTGTTACTTTTCGGAATGTATTTACCAGTTATACTTCTTTTCTTTTATTAATCAATCCTATAATTGCCTTCCTTCCCTCCTTCTTTTTGTCCTTCCTACCTTCCTTTTCTCTTCTTTTTTTTCTTCAGTGATGGAGAACCCAGTGACAGAAACTGGATCACTTTTTACCTCAGGAATTAAGAAACATGTGAAAGACAAAAGAATGTCAAAGACTGCTAAGTTGAATGTTTCTCTTGCCTCCAAAATCAAAACAAAAATAATAAGTAAGTGCCATTGGTTTTAAAATATACTCACATTTTTACTTTTCCTTGGAGAATTGATAAGAGTCTTACTACTTTATTTTATCAGGTATAAAAAACTACTAAAATGACTATTTTTGTTAACTGATACTTTTTTCCCCCTGTCAGTCCTTCCTGTTTCCTTCAGCTCCTATTAGTTGAGTGGGTGTGATGATTTACGCTCAGTGGTGACAGCTGAATTTTCAGCGGTGAGCCTGGCACAGTTTAGGCAGCTACCTCCTGCACTGCAAGGACAATACCAGTGTGACATTTCTGGGAAAGAGCTAAATAAATGGTAGATTGTTCTGTCAGGCCGTAGCAGTTGGATGATGGGTAATCTAGAGGTAGTTGGCCAGGTAGGGCGCTGCAGTGTGTGATTTTACATAGCCAAGACTCATTATGAGGGCATTGAGCACTTTAGAGATAGCGTTTCATGGATTCTGTACTTAAGATGTAAGAAGGGGGGGGAAAAAACAAAGAAAAGAATTGGGAAAAACTCCCAAAGATAAATTTTCATTGCTTTTGAAAATTATTTCAATGGTTCACGCCCATCTTAGCAGGAGCAGGAAAGGTTTCCTGCTGATAAAGCACCTGCGAAGGGTAACTGTGCCTGGTGAAAGAGCCAATCTTCTGAGTATCTTTAAATCAGAATGTTGCTCCTACCCAGGTCTCTAGGGCCATGTGGTAAATATTAGACCGCCCCCAACAGTGGCTATTTCCCATTGTCTTTAGTAGGACCCCTGCGCACCCGCTGTTATGAAGGCATATACTGAGTTTGAGGATTGCAGCAGGAAACAGTTATTATCCTTTAGCTTATGAAGTCCTAAACTGGTTTTAGCCTATTTCCACTTGCTATGTCAGAGGGAGGTGGCTGTCTGAAACTACTTTCTCTGTGCCAGAGATAAAATACTTTTCTAGGACCCTGTTTTTTAGCTGCCCAAACTTTCCCTGAGTATTTTAAAAATGTTATTATTACATTTATAAACATTTTCATATACACTATATTTTTATTCAGTGGCATGTGAATCAAAATTATGAAAATAAAAATATGTTCTAAGTGTACAAAGGGAGAACACTATATTTAAGGTGAGATTTACTGAGGAATTCACATTACATTTCTTTCCTAACAACAGGAAAGTATTTCTCATTTAAATTTTGTTTACATAGTGTTTGTAAAGAGAAGGGACCAGGTTTAGATTGAAATAGATGCTCCCATATTGGAGATAGGATTTGGGGTAGAGGTGCAATGTCCCACAGGGTTTAAATGACCTATCTGAACATTATAGTAAGTATGCTCCCTTGTGCTCAAGGTTTTGAAAAATGGATTTGGGGAGCATTAACTAATTTGTTCAGTTCTGGAGCCACAGAAGCTAGCTTTAAGTTTTTCTGGTTGGCCACCCTAATTTCTCTGGGACATCTCCAGTTAGAGCTGCAGGATCAGCTTCTCCATCCTACCTCCTAGGTAGGTAGGTAGGGCAGTGGGTCTCAAAGTTCAGTTTCTGTGATTGGCCTAATTGTCTGCAATGCTGTGTCTGTAGAAGAGTCCCATTATTCCTAACTCTGTATTCACAAACATTCTGCATTCCTTATGTCTTTTTTTATCATCCATCTAGCTTTTATTTCTTCACTTCAAACTCTACATTTTTTCCAAAACTGCATCTATATTGTCATTTCCTTCTTTTCCAACCTTCAGTTAAAACTTATAAAGTGAAATGCATTTTGCCTACAATAGTTTTATTAAAGAATATGAAAATTTTTAATGTATATGTTCAATGTTAACTATTAAACTTTTTTTTTACAGACAATTCTTCTATTTTCAAAATATCTTTAAAGCACAACAACAGGGCATTAGCTCAGGCTCTTAGTAGAGAGAAAGAGAATTCTCGAAGAATTGCAACTGAAAAGATGTTATTGCAAAAAGAAGTGGAAAAACTGAATTTTGAGAACACATTTCTTCGCCTAAAGCTAAATAATTTGGTATGGAAACTACGTTGTGTTTGAATTCTAAATTATAACTAAAATCTTAACTATGAGCTGTAAAAATGTTTTTCATCTCTGTGAAAAATTATTGAAAAAATGTGCCATGTTCATGGGCAAACTGTAATAAAATAGGTGTCTTATGCGTACTGGTGGCTCTGCAAACCGATATAATACCTTGATTAACCCTGATTGCTTGCCATAAGCAAAACTTTGTGCATTAATACATTTTAACAAGATGGGCATAATTCCTCCAGTGAATTCAAAGGAGAGGAGTTCCCAGTGTGTCTATATCTCTTTTAATCTCAGCATTTCACTGGCTACAAACCAAAGAGAATGAAGATTGTACTCATTCCTTTTCATTCCAATTTCCAACTCTGTCCATAGACCAGGCACTAAGATCCACTGATTAGCTAGGCTGCAACTATATATCTAACTCTAAAATTAGTAGAAATTAATTTAAAAATGCAAAAATGACCTACTACACTTGAACATTAAATTCCTGTGGCTGACAAACATTACACTTGCCATGTAATAGTTATTATTATAAGAAGATAGAAAAATGTCTGTAGAAAATTTATGATTGCTAGTTAAAAAGCATTCAAAATGTGTGTGTATGTGTCTGTTTGAACTATGCAGTGTAATACCTTTTAAGCTCAATGTGATCTCAGTTGTTAGCCCAATGTTATCTTATTTATTTTCTAAGTCTTTTCAACTGATTGTATTCATATTCCTAAAGGTATAGCATAATAAACTCCAAATCTTAAGGGATTAAAATGGGTCTTTCTTTTTTTCCTTGTACAGAATAAGAAGCTTATAGAAATAGAAGCACACATGAACAATAACTTGATAACTGCAATTGAAATGAGCACTCTTTCTGAGGTAAGTAGAATTGGGTGTAAGTAGTACAGTTTTTTAGCATTACTGAGAATAACTGAAGTTAGTGAAGTGGAATTGGGGTTAAAGAGATTCGTATCTTAAATTTTGTGTGAAGGAATGATGATAATAGTAACCGACTAACAGAACATTATCACTTGGGATAATTGGTTATTGAATTTTCACATGAAAACTAGGTTTGGCCTTGGCTGGTGTGCCTCAGTGGATTGAGCTCTGGCCTGTGAGCCAAAGGGTCCCTGGTTCGATTCCCAGTCAGGGCACATGCTTGGGTTGTGGGCCAGGTCCCCAGTAGGGGGCGTGTGAGAGGCCACCACACTTTAGTGTTTCTTTCCCTCTCTTTTTCCCTCCCTTCTCTAACAATAAAATAAATAAAATCTTTTAAAAATTAGGTTTTGATGAAAAGTAACAAAGGATTAGATAGCTCAGTGGAATGTAATGATCCCTAAACATACTACAAAACGTGAAAGACATTAGTAGAAAGGTAGTATTTCAAATTAGGAAAGAATTTGTATTAGTGAAAAGTGATGGGCAGGTGGCTCTCCCTCTCAGGGAGCACGCCCGCCTGTTCCTTCCCTTCCGCCTCCTCTTCCCCCTCAAGCGCATTACCCCAGCCTTTCTCTCTCCTAAGCCCCAAGGGCCCTTCTTTTGCCTCTATAACTTGTTTCTTGAGTCCACACAACCCAGCTGGCTCACTTCCAGCACCTAGGTAACTTTCTTAATAAACTTTCTCTTATAATTTGAAAAAGAAAAGGAAGATGGACATAATTGAAAAACAATTAGGGGAAAAAATAGAGGAAGATCCTACTTTATACCATTCTCTAAAATAATTCTAGAAGTATTTAAATGTAAAAAAGGAAATCATATAAAATGACGAGAAATTACAAATGAGTTCACAGTAGGTAGAAGAGGCCTTCCTATTCCTAGAAACGAATAGAAACCATAACAGAAGTTATTGATGGATTTCCTCAAAAAAAATTTTAGAAGCTAAAAATCAAAGGAAAAAAGATATTGCAGACATGGAAAATTAAACATGTGGCAGATACACCATTAATATTAGTATCAATGCTTTTATAACTAGCATGAGGAAAATAAAATCAATAAAAAATCAGGAAGGGATAAGGACCAAATATTAGTGAAATTAACTCAATATCCAAATAAAAATAATTTTTGAAGGAATAACTAATGAGAAGGCAAAATATATGTAATACATAAACTGAAGAAAGGTCAGTGATGTCTCAATTGTAGATAAATTTCTTGATAGCTTCTGGAGGCAGTTTAGTGCTTCAGAGGGTAGCTTTTTAAATGAAATTCCCTATATTTAGATCGCAGCTCTGCTACTTCCTAGTTCTGTGAGCTTGGCCTTAAACTCTTTGAACCCCAGTGTCCTCACCTGCATGGTGTAAATAAGGGAGAGTTAATGTAAGAGTTAAATGTGGCTATTGTGTGTTCTGGCAATATAATGAGTGCAGTAAATGTCAGCTATCATTATTTTTCATTGTGTATGTATTTTCCTGTATTTTCTAAATTTTCTGCAAATTACTCTTTTAAAAACTTTTAAAAGTCATATATAAGTCTCTTAAATTCATAGTCTTTGTGGTAAGAAGATATGAACTCTTTCAACCTATATGGTCAATGTTCAGCTCCTTTGTCAGAATTTTTTATAGAAGCTAGGCAAAGAATAGGTATTTTATTGTCTAACGTAATCCACATTTGGATGAAGAAAGGATTTGTGGAAATGTCCCTGTGGAATAATATTTACAGGAGGTGTAGTTACTAAGCATTATAAAGTTGATACCTAGGACAATCAGGGAGCAGAGGTGTTGTGCCTGACACATTTAGCACCCCCTAAGGAAAAGAGATCCTTTTCATTGAGAGGTAGGGTAGTGGGAGTGAGGGAAAAGGGGGCTTTGTTTTACTAATCAGCTTGCAGCGCTAAATTGAATTGCCCTGAATAAATGACTGGGACTGGAGTCAGATACAGCAGTGGGGAATATAGAGTCTGCAGGAACTGACTTACAGAGTAAAAGAAGGAAGCTAATTGGCAAGATGTGGAGGGGGAGAGGGTCATATCATCCACATCTCAAGGAATCTAGGAGAACAGATAACCAGAGAAACATTGCTCAACTATTTGTTAGGACCTACATGATTTTAAAGCTCCTTCTCCTCCATTGTCTCTTTAAAAAACCTTTAGTAAAATCCACATTTTTCTCAGATGCTTTTTGTATGGTTCTCTTTGGAGAACTTTAAAAAGGGCTGAGGCCAGCATCTGGAATCAGGAAAAGTGAAAAACAGGGTAAGTAGATGCAGAAGCTGAAGGATGAAGGGACAGCATACAACTTTGGTGTTCACTTCCTTGGACTTATTTTTTGGGGGTTTTTTTTTTTAGATTTTACTTTTTATTTACTTATTTTTAGAGAGGCGAAGGGAGGGAGAAAGAGAGGGAGAGAAACATTGATGTGAGAAATACCGATTGGTTGCCTCTCAAACATGCCTGCCTCTCGAACACAGCCACCTCTCCAATGAGCCCAGCTGGGGACTGAACCCGTAACCCAGGCGCATGCCCTGACCAGGAATCAAACTGGCAACCTTTCAGTTTGTGGGATGACACCCAACCAATTGAGTCACATGGGTCAGGGCTCTTGGACTTATTATTTACAGACTAACTTGCATATCAGGATTTGAAATCCCTTTTCTTTTTAGTTGGTAGAGGGGAAGAAGATGGGTAATGCAGACATGTGGTTCTAGTATCAGAACAATATTAAAAAATATTGAACGATATCTCACACATGCTTCTGTTCTATCTCTGGCTACTTTATTCTCCATTCTCCTTTTTTTTTCTTTATACTTTATGCAGGTAACTGCTCTAGTTCCTTATATTGAAGCAAAAGCATATTAAGTATTTCTCGATTTTCTTTCCTTCCACCAAAGATAGCATACTATAGTAACTATTTTTTGTTATGTGACACACCTTCAAGATCTTTCCATATGATTATAGGGGATGCTTCTTTTCTCCTTTTTAGTGCTGCTTGGCAAAGATCTAGAATGGACTTCTAATCTTTTTAACTTGTTGGACACTTGAGTTGTTTTTTGCTGTTTGCTCAAGATGCAAAGATGTTATCTCCCATATTAAAAAAGAAAAAAAGAAAGAAAACCTCTTACTCCACTTAATACTCTCTACCCACAGCTACTATCTCATTTTCCTCCTTAGCATTTTTGCAAAACTCCTTTTTAGGACCTATGGTGGTGATCATATGGTCTTTCTTTCTAGGTGTATTAATATGATGGACATATTTTAGTAGCTTTCCTAATTTGGCAATTCTGGAATAAATTTCAGAAATGATTTTTCTTTTAATATGCTGCTGAATTCTTTTTGCCAGTAGTTTGTTTAAGAATTATTTTTATTTTTATCCGTGAGGTTTCTTTGGTTTGTTTGTTTGTTTGTTTTTAGAGAGAGGGGATGGGAGGGGAAAGAGGAGAGAAACATTGATACATTGATCAGTTGCCTCTCGCACATGCCACCAACTGGGGACCTGGCCCGCAACCAAGGCATGTACCCTGACTGGGAACCAAACTAGCAACCTTTCAGTTCGCAGGCAGGCACTCAGTCCACTGAGCCACACCAGCCATGGCAGTGAGGTTTCTTTGAAGTTTTCTTTTTATGTAGTCTTTAGGCGTTCATAAAAATGATGTATATACTAAACTCATTTTAAAAATTTGGACCTTTTCTTCTGTTCTGGAAAAATGATATAAGAATTATATTTTCTTTAAAGGTTTCATAGAATTGTTCTGTGAAGCTATGTGGTTGTGGGTCTTCCTTGGTGGAAGTGGCTATCCTTTGTTAACTTTATTTCTCCTATGAATATTGGATTACATAGGAAAATCTTTTTCTCTCTTTTGTGGTCAGTTTTATTCAATTTTATTTCCTTAGGAAATGATCTCTTCATTCATGTTTTCAAGTTGATTTGCATAGAGTTGACCAAGTAGTCTGTTAATCTTTTAATTTTGTCTGTGTTGAATATTTCCCCAATTGACTAAGTCTGTGTATTTGGACTTTTCCCTGTATTTTTTTTTAAATCCATCTTTTGGATTTAATTTTGAGTTCTACTGTTTTGAAGTTTCAAACTTCCCAATTTTTGCTTTTATCTTCAACAGTAAGTCCTTCTGTTCTTCTGCGGTTTATCTTATTGTTACCTTTCCCACTTTGAGTCAAATGCTAATTTGTTTTTCATTCTCTTTCCTGTGGGTAAGATGTCTTTTCTCTTAACTGCTCTCAAGATTTTTGTCTGTGTCTTTAGTTTTTAGACGTTTGACTATGCTATGTCTTGGCATGGATTTCTTTGAGCTTACCTTTGGGAGTTCACTCCCCTTGAATGTACAGATTGATTTCTTTTTGCCAAGTTTGGCATTTTCAGCCATGTTTCTCCAAAACTCTTTGGCCCTGCCCTCTTTGACATGAATGTTATATTTTTGTTATAGTCCCACAAAGCCCTGGTCCTCTGTTAATTTTTTGCTGTCTCTTCTCTCTTTCTCAGATTGGGTACTTTTTATTGTTCTGTCTTCAAGTTCGCAGATCCACTCCCCACCACTCCTGCCCATGTCCTCTCCATTTTGCTGTGGAGATTTTACTTTATTTTATTTTAATTATATTTTTAATTAATTTAGTTAATTATAGTTTTAAATTTCCATTTTGTTCTTTACATTTTCTATTTATTTGCTAAGCCTTTGTTTCTTTGCTGAGATTTTCTTTTTGTTGTTGTTTTGAGCATGTTAATAATTGCTTATTGAAGCAGTTTTACGGTAATTCCTTTAAAATCCTTGTTATGTAATTCCAGCATCTGTGCCACTTTGGTGTTCATGCCTGTTGATTGCCTTTTTACATTCAAATTTAGATTTTTTTTTTTTCCTAATTCTTGGTATGATGAGCTGTTTTTGTTATATTTTGAATGTGTTAGGTATTATGAGACTCCAGATCTTATTTAAACCTGTTTTAGCAGGTTTCCTTTGACACTATGCCTGGGGTAAAGGGAAGTGCCACCTACTGCCAAGTGGGGGCCAGAACACCTGAGTGTTCCCCACTCAGTCTCTGTTGACACCCTGGCAGGAAGGGGTGTCTCCTAACCAATGGGTGGGGCTGGGAAGTCAGGCTGATACCCCCCAGTGCCTCAGGACCTTTATAGCCTCTGCTGACCCCAAGGCTGGGGGACATCCAAAGATGGAGGTTATTACTGTTGTAGAGTAGTGAAAATCCTGGCTTTCTACTAGATGTCTTCTGTCACCCACTAAAGGAGGAAGAGAGGGGCTCCTTGTTATTCACAAATAAGAATGGACTTTCAGAGTCCCCAAGTGTTCTTCACTGGTACTGTTCTTGGGGTTGGGCAAGAAGAGGTCTCCGCCCATTACCACTGGCTATCCTAACTCTCCCTAGGCGTTTTCTGACAGTACCCCTGGTTTGGAGAAAGGTTACCTGATTATACGTACCCAGGGTAAGTGTGGAAGCCTAGGCTCTCTGTTTGGCCTTTGCACCTGTGTCAGAAATTAATTGACCAATATGTGTGGGTCTATTTCTGAACTCTTTTCTATTTCATTGATCTATTTGTCTATTTTATTTTTTAATTTTTTTATTGTTTTTTAATTTTTATATTTAATTACATTTGTATGTTTTTATGCTAATACCATATTGTCTCAATTACCACAACTCTTCAACTTTGTTCTTATATTTCAGAGTTGTTTCAGCTTTTCTAGGTCCATTGAATTTCCATGTGAATTTAAAAATTAGCTTGTCAATTTGGTCATACCCATTTCTACTGCAGGTTAGCACTGCAGTAAGAAAACAGGGTTATGTGTTACCTAATTTTGTGGTCTTTATTAAATAATTAAAAAATGTCCAGAAAACATGTGAAAATCTAGCAAATATAGATAAGCAAAAATTTTAAAGCTACATTAAAATCACCCAGACTTTAAATTTTAGAAGACCATCTAAAAATATATATTATAAAATCCAATAATATATTACATAATACTTACGTAGACATGAGTGTATTTCATATACAACTGACCTTTGAACAAGTGGAGTGCAGGGGTTAGGGGTGCAAACTACCGCACAGTCAAAATCCACGTATCAGTTAAGTTGGCCCTACACCCAACCAAAATCACTGTATATGTAGAGATATTGTGTATGGGTGGTTATAAACATGTGTATTTATTCATATGCATAGGACAAAGTTTGGAAGGTTATATACCAAAATATTAGTGGTAATTATCTTTGAATGGCATGATTAAGGGTGAACTGTGTTTAACCTTATCACACTGTTCTCATGGAGCTATTAAAGACTAATGCAAGAATTGTTCCATCACTATTGGTATTCTTATATAATCTGGTACTTTAATAACAAACATGATTTAATGAAATTATAAGTTTTGTTCCTTTTCATTTTCTGTATTTTTTTCAAAAATAGTTCCATCAGAGTCCCTTTCTACTGCCACCCAGCAAGAATAAACGGGTTAGTAAACAGAGCAAGTCAATGCATCTTCCATTTGCAAGGTAATTGCTTCAAAACTTGGTTAAGTATTAACTTGCACACTTCTACCTAAGTTGTACGTTGGAAGTTTTTATGTGTTTCGCCTCCTTGAAATGTAGAAAAATATTTAAAATAAATAATGAAATATTTTTTAACATTGTGCCAATAAAAGAAATTGAAGACAATATAATAGAATTTAGTTTTACATTTTTAAATAATACTCAGCTTTTCCTTAGACTCTAGAGACAAAAGAGGCACAGATAGGCCTTTAATTACCTGAGTTTAAATTACAGTGGTTCAGAGGGCTTAAATTTGTATATAATACAATAATTGTTTGTGTGTGTTATATAATGTTTTGGGTTTCATTAACCTGCAGTTAGTTGCCTTCTAGGGTAGGAATGAGATGGTTTGTACTCTCTTGCTCAGATTGTATCTCCAGGCCAAGGAAACTTACCCTCATTCAATAACTAAGTTTAGCTGTGGATCCTGCTACTTTGTAGTTCTTTCTTTTCCCTCAGGTCACCACTGGCCTCCTGTTTTCTGCTGGCTAAACCTGATAATTTTTTCTACCTTTAGAAACTTGCATACTGCCCAAGCTTTTAAATTAATTTCGTTGTTGTCCTCTTGACTTTGATTAACTTGACTATAAGGTATAGTAAACACCTTATTTCAAACCTGTCATGTTAAAGACACTCTCTGAGGTCTAGAGAGGTAAAATGACTTAATGAAGTAATAGCACTGACCTAAATCCTCTTCTCTCTTAGTGCTCTTTTGGGTATGCAACTTAAAGTTTTACTGCTTTTATTTAAGTGCACAAGTAAATGTATTTATATATACTGAATGCAATTTGTATCATAGTAAAAAATTTTATATATACTATGTTACTTTCTATTCTTTCTAATTTGCTGCATTGTTTTGCCTATTATGCTGTACTAGCACCCCATTGCACCAGTACCTTTTAATTGCTGTAGTTTTCAAGTAGTACATTTTGTTGTCTTGTAGTTCCTCTACTTCTTTTTCAAGAATATCTTGGCTCTCATTAGCACACATTGTTTAATAAAAACATATGAATCAAGTGTCAACTTGCCCTCTATAAAATTTCATGATATTTCTAAGTGTATTTTTGTTTGAAGTATTATATAACTGTTAGACAAGTGCAAAAATCTTGAGAGTGTGGTGTGAATTTTTACAAGTGAACACCATCATACAACCAATACCCAAACCAAGAAACAGAATATTACTAGTAGTACCTCAAATACACCTTTGGACTTTGGAGTTACTACTCACCACCCACACAAGGATAAATATTACCCTGACTTCTAACATAGATAATTAATTTTGCTGCGTTTTGAACACCAGATAATGAAATCGTGCAGTAGATACTGAATTTTGTCTCTGGTTTCTTTTGCTCAGCATTGTGTTTGTGAGATTCATCTATATCAGTGAATGTAGTCATCGACCAGTTGTTCTCATTGCTGTATAGCATTCCATTGAATGAATATACCATAACTTCTCCATCTTTCTGACTGTGAACATTTACTTTTTTTCTAGCTTTGGGCTGTTACAATTAGTGCCGCTATGTATATTCCTTTTGAAAGGTATATTCACATTTCTGTTGGGTATGTACCTAGGAGAGGATTACTTTATTTACAAATAGTATTCAGTTTTAAGAGAAACTGCCAGTTTACTAAAAGGTTTATGCCATATTATATTCCTAGCAGAAATATATAAGAATTCCTGTTGTTCTGCACCTCTAACAACATTTTGTCTCTCTTTTTCATTTTAGCCATTTGGGGGATATGTACTAGTATTACATTGAGGTTTTAATTTCAATTTTCTTGATAATTAATGAATTTAAGCATCTGTTTACATGTTTTTTTTTAATTAGGTTGTTAAATACATTATATATATAAATTCTTTGTACATTATAAATATCTTTTATTCAGACTTGCTTCATCACTCTCTTCATGGTGTCTTTAGTTGAACAGAGTTCTTTTTCAAAAAATTAATTTTACATATTTATATATAGCTGTATTTATTAATCCCCATTCCCCTATGGTTACTATTTTGTGTCCTTTTAAGAAAATCTTTACTAATAGAAAGGTCATGTGTTCTATGCTCATTTTTTTTTAAGCTTTATTATAATATTTTTCCTTTCACATTTAGGTCTTCAGTCTACCTAAAATTTGGGGCATATTGTGAGGGAAGGGTCATAATTTATTTTTTTCATGTAAATACTATGACCTTCCACCATTTGTTTAGAAAAGATCATCCTTTCCCCACCTCACTGCAGTATCATCTGTATCATAAGTCAAGTAGCTGCATGTGTATGCATGTTTCTGAATCCATTCTTCTAAGTCTTGGTGTTTGATAGCGTGAATCGCCGTCTTACTTATTTATGGTTTTGTTTATGAATATTGTTCTGGCTATTCTTGGCCCTTTGCATTTCTTTGTGAATTTTAGAATCAACTTGTCAATTTACATAATGCACCTAGACATCTATACATTCTCTTTTGAAATTTTGGGAATAAAATATTTATTATATTAATAGGAAAAAAAGAGAAAAGTAGTATCTCTTCAATAATACAGAAAAGGTATTTGATAAAATTCAATAGCCATTTAGGAAAAAACTTTCAGCAAATTAAGAGTACAGGGGTTAATCTGAAAAGGAAAATGTACAAAACCCAAGAGCGTTAATATATTATATAATATATTATATTACATAATGGGACACAATAAGAATTTCCTAAGTTTCTCCTAAAGCCAAATATTATATGTAAACCCAGTAATCCTACAACAAAAATGTGTGCATACATCTCAAAAGACATGTATATAGTCACACTATTTGTAATAGACCAAAACTAGAAAATATCACCGTTATTTGGATTCATTTGCTTGCTCCTTCCCACTTTCTTTGATGTTACTCTTCATTCTTTGAATTCAAGAAGGTCAGTTTATCAAATCTCCAATTATTTATGTGGGTTTCTGTCCTTTCCGACTCCCTCCCATCCCCCACTCCCATAGATTGAACTACTCTAGGAATGTGGCTCTAGTCTTTGGAAACAGCACACTTCTTTTCACATATAACTTTACAATTATACCTGTTTGAAACCATAGTAAGAGTTTTGGGTATTCCATAGAATTAATTATAGGAAATCTATAAATATTATTATATATGAATATTTAAAAGTGTGTTTGAACTTTATTTAAATATTTCATTATTATTATCCTAATAGCCCACCAGTGGTTATATCAGTTATCTCCTTTTGGGGCCACTGAAGCTATGAAGATAAGCATTCTAGTTTTACTCCAAATTCTGTACTATTAGATCCTACCTACTTCATGCCTGTACTTGTCTTCATTGGACACAAAAAGGTACCAGAGGGGATATATGGTTGGATCTTAAATGGGATCTAGAAAGAACCAGCAATCTAATTTTCTAAGTAACTTTTGTAAAATAACAAAAATTTTTATTCCCACTTGCCTGTAGGGTTCCGTTACCTTCAAATGGTGATGATGATGATGATGATGATGATGGAGGTAAAGAGAAAATGCAATGTGACAACAATATTATATCAATGATATCACCTGATGTTCCTTCTTCAGTATCAACAAGGCAATCTTTATCAGCTCGGTGTAATTTGGAATTGTTATGTCCTACAGAAAATAATCGAAATGTCTGTGGTTTAGATGATTCAGAATGTACTTCTTCTATTGTTGATATACTTCCCAAAGGTGAGATTTTTAAAAAAATTCATTTTGAGTATCCCTATTTAAAATAGTTACATTGATCAGATTTTCTTCTTGATGGCCATGGTGTATAAACATTAGATCTCTTACATTTCAGATTTGCTAACTTCTACTATTTTTACACTGCGGGTGAAAATTTTAATTTAAAAGTAAATATGCTGAGAAATGTCAGATCCACAGCAGCCTTATACTGTTATTCCGGAAGCAATATTTAGAAATGAGCCTAAAGAGCTTTTCTTGGTGTATTAGCTTATGAATAGAAAGATACCGTAGTAGTTTCATATTTAGTTTTATTTTCTCCCGTTCATAGTTATGAAAACTGTGGGCCTAGATAGATATAGTGACTTTTTCAAGATCATAATCAGTTAGTGATAAAGCAAAAACTTGAGAGTGTTCATAATGGTTGAGCGAGAGAAAATGATAACACATTTTATTTACATAGAATTTCAAAATAATAATTGTGCAGTATAGCCTGGCTTGTGTATTTGTCATAGATTCTCCAATTGGGATATAGAATTATAACTGTAATAAATTTAGAGCTTAGAATTATTTTTCCTTTCTAAAAATTTAATTATAGAATTATGTATAATTTATAGAAACTTAGCTGTCTGCTGATAGCCTTCTAATAGTAGTTCTTATCAGAGTTATCACTCTTACTTGAGGTCATTTGCTGGCTCCCTCCCACTTTAGAAATACAGGTTAATGGCTCTGCTGTTGGCTATGCTCCACTCTATTGATGGGGCCAAGGCAGAGTGAGTTCTCAGTATATATTTTACATAGATGCAAATGTAGAATGTGACTTATGACTATTCTCATCATTTCTATTTTATTTTCTATCAGCATAAATTCTTTAGAAGTATCTGAACAAAACACATTGTCAGAAATCCTCTCTGTGAAACAGCTTGATTTCTAATCTAATTTGTTTAAAATAATAAACCTGTCATTACTTACTTCTGAATTTTCTTTCCCTTTATTTTATAGAAAGCTGTTCTTACTCAGACCAGAATTCCAAGAGTCCTCTAACAAGTGAGACGAAAAGTTCCCAGTCTGTCAGCCACAGAAAGGAGAAACGATCTCTTAGTAATGTAACTAAAAGGAAAAGGCATGCATCATTTCTGGAATCAAATAATCCTTCTTCAGACAGTCCTTGTATGACAGATTTAGATCAACAAGGGATTTCAAGTCCGGAATTCAATTGGAATAATGAGCTAAATGATCATACTAATGAGACAAATATTAAAATGCAGGGAAACGTGCAGTACCCTCCGGACTCTTCTGAGTCTGCAAGTGAGCCTGCTGCAGAGTGCATGAGCCAAGTTCAGGGTAATGATGACTTTCAGTGGCAGAAAACTGTGTATGATGCTGACATGGATTTAACTGCTAGTGAAGTAAGCCAAATAGTTACAGTTTCAACAGGCGCTAAAAATAAAAGTAATAAAAAATCAAATCACTGTGGAATCAAAACTTTCAGAAAAGTGAAAGATTCAAGCTCTGACAAAAAGAGAGAAATAGCAAAGAGACACATTAAAAATAGTTCAGAAATTAACGTAGAGGAAAAGATTGAAAATAAACCAGATAAAAGATCTGTTGGCCTAAATGGTGACAGGGATTCAGAAGATCCAAATTCTATCTTCAAAACTGAACAGCTGACTCAACTGAATATACTGAAGACAATCACCCTTCATAATGACTTTGATCAGAGTGACAGACAAAGTGCAGAGGATAGTAGGAAGAAGAAAAGAATACAGGTAACAAGTGAGCAAGAGGAAACATACTCTTTATCCCAAAGTTCAGAGGAATTCCCGCAGGAAAATAAATTTAGTATGGGTCAAAGTTCTCTAGCTTATAATAAAAACAAAGCTTCTAGACAGACATTTGTGATTCATAAGTTGGAAAAAGGTCACTTACTCCTAAATCAAAAGGATAAGGAAACCATTTCTGAAAACCTAGAAGCCACAAATATATTTCAATCAGCTTATCTTGCCACCAAACATAATGGAAATTTATGTGATTTTGAGGCACAAAATATGTTGGATTTGAAAAAGGATGTCACTGATACACAACCTGCTCAGCAAAATGAATCAAAAATAAATAAGAAGCTTAGGCAGAAAATAAATCGGAAGACAGAAATAATTTCTGAAATGGACCAAATATATGGAGGTAATGATAAAGATGAGCATAGCCCAGGAAAATGTAACTTTTCCATCCAAAGCCAAAAGGATAAAGAAATCACCTCTGCAAACCTAGAAGACCCAAGTGAATTTCAAACACCTGCCCTTTCTACCAAAAATAATGGAAACCTATATGATTATGAGACTCAAAATATTTTGGGGGTGAGAAAGCATGTTCAGAATATGCAAACTGCTTGTCAAAATGAAACAAAAACAGATAAGAAGCGTAGGCAAAAGGTATGTCGGAGGACAGAAATTATTTCAGAAATCAACCAAATACATGCGAATGATGACAAAGATAGGCATGACCCAGAAAGAGGTAACTTATTTTCTCTAACCCAAAAAGATAAAGAAATCATTCCTGAAAACCTAGAGGACTCAAATGAGTTTCGAGTAGCTGACTCTTCCACCAGAGGTCTTTGGAATATCTGTGGTTATGAGACTGAAAACATTCTGGGGGAGAAGAAGAGTGTTACTAATATGCCACCTGCAAAGCAAAATGAATCAAAAATAAGTAAGAGGTTCAGGAATAAAGGAAGTCGGAAAACAGAAATAATTTTAGAAATGAACCAAATAAATGAGTTTAATAACAAAGATGTGCATGACTTAGAAAAAGATAACTTCTTTTCCCTAACCCCAAAGGATAAAGAAAGTATTTCTGAAAACTCGGAAGTCACAAATGAATTTCAAACAGCTTGTCCTTCTACCAAAGATAGTGGAAATTTATATGATTATGAGACCCTGAATAACATGTTGAATTTGAAAAAGCATGTAACTGATATGCAGCCTGCACAGCAAAATGATTCAAAAACAAATAAGCTGAGGCAGAAAGTGAATCGGAAGACAGAAATAATTTCAGAAATGAACCAAATATATTGGGATAATGATAAAGACATGCATGACCAAGAAAGCTACACAAGAGACCTCAATTTTAAAATAAGTGAATCTGAACAGAGGCTTGAAAGCCAAGGTATCAGCGGATACTGTATGGAAATCAATAGTAATGAAAAGGAAACTTGTGCACAAATTTCAAATCCTTATAAACAAGTTAAAAAACATGGGAAAGAATCATCAGGTAAGACAAAGGACATTTTGGCACAAGGTAAAAACAAATCTGTTTTTCAGTTAACAGATTCTTTACAGACAACTCTCTCCTTGGAATCAGGTTTAAAATACATTACTAATGAAACAGATTATGATTCTGGTAACCAAATGGAACCACATAAGAATGCAACTCTGAGTAAAAAAAGAGATAACCCCTTTGCAGAAGTGATAAAAAGAGAGTGCGAAGTCAAAAGAATAAATAAAAAGACATCCCAATCAAAGAAGAGGAAGACATTCCTAAATCCTTCTCCAGATAGCCATGAAGTAATGCAGGTAATATCTGACCTCAGTCAGAGAATATCAGTTGGATCTGAACAAGCTGATGAGGGTAAAAAATTGGAAGATGAGAAAATTAAGCTAGACTTTTATCCAAAGGCATTTAATTCTTTATCTCAGATATATTCACCTAACATACAAGATTCTTCCCTTAACAATATTCATGAGGGTTCAAGACCTTTGCATATTTCTTCTAGTAAAAATCTGATAATGAATGAAAATTTTGCCCTGGAGAGCTCACCAGCCTTTCAAGTAAGGGATGATATGCAGAAGATGACAGGGATGAAATTTAAAGTCACCCAGAGAACACAAAAATCAGGTCAGTACTTGAAGTGATCAAGTTTTAAAAGTGTATTTTTTTTCACTTAACTACTGAAATATTTCCTGTTATAACTGATATTTCTATGAAATTTAAAAACTGTTTACTGTATAGCCTGATCTATAGAAACAATATGAAGGAATTTAAATAAAGCCTAATACTTTGGAAAGATAACAGTGAAACTGTCTCGGTCATTTAATAACCTGAAAAACAGGTTGGCCTTTCCCACAGTTGTCTGATAATGTCATTAGGCAGATGATTTCCTTTTCATATGTTTGAAAGAAATTGAGTGTTTTAAATATATATAATAAGGAATTGTGCTGGATTGATTTTATTGAAGACAATTGCAGGTTTCCTTACGGTGGGACTCTTATAACAGTATATATTTAATGTAATTAAAGGTCTTTATTCTAGGTGTTTTAGAGGATTCAAAATAATACCAACTCTCTTTTCTTAGAATACATGTATGTAAAAGTTACAAATACAGTAGTAAATGTGGTAGATGCTTTAATAAAAGCACACGTATTATGCCAAGGGATGTAACAGGAAATAATTTTGACTAGAGGAATCTGCAAATACATTATGAAATAGGCAACATTTTAGGCCCTAAAGGATAATTAGGCTTTTTACCTTACTGTTTACTTTTTATCTTCTCCCAGTTATTAAAGTAACACTCAAGATAGGAAATTGAAAGTAGAGAATCAGAAAATAGTAGGAAAAACAATTACCCAGAAGAACTACAGCCAACGTTTTGGTATATGCATGCAGACTTTAAATCATACTCTATAAAACATTACTTATCTCACATTTTTTTTCCCTTAACATTGAATCCTATAGCTATTCCTTTATTATTAGAAATTTTCTATTGGGAGCCTAACATTTGGCTATATGTGTTTAGAACAACACACGGATTTTTTCTCCAGTTTTATTAAGAAATAACTGACATATCGCTGTGTAAGTTTAAAGTGTACACATGATGGCTTGATTTACACGTAGTGTGAAATGATTATTACCACAATATGTGCAGCTGACTTGCATCATCTCATATAGGTACAACAGAAGGCAGAAGAAAACAACTTTTTTTCCTTATGATGAGAACTCTTAGGGTTTACTCTCTTAACAGTTTTCCTATATATCATAGGGCAGTGTTAACTAGAGTCACCATGTTGTACATTATACCCCTAGTACTTATTTATTTATCTTATAACTAGAAGTTTGTACCTTTTGACCAGTTTCCCCTCTTTCCAACCTCCCCTGCCTCAGCGGTAAGTCTGATCTTTTTCTATGAGTTTGATTGTTTTTTTTTTAATTTGTTTTGTTTTCAGAGTCCAAATATAAGTGAAAGCATACAATATTTTGTTTTTCTCTGACTTATTTCACTTAGCATAATGTCCTTAAGGTCCATCTCTATTGTCACAAATGGTAGGATTTCCTCTGTTTTTATCTTTTAGAGAGAGAAGAAGGGAGGGAGAAAGAGAGGGAGAGGAACATCAAATGTTTATCTGGCTGAATAATATTTCATTGTATTTATATACCACAACTTTATCCATTTATCCATCCATGGACACTTTGGCTGTTTCCATGTCCCAGCTATTATAAATAAATGTTATGAACATGAGGGTACAGATACCTTTTCAAGTTAGAGGGCACTAGGATTTTGATGGATAAGGCTATTCCAGGTAAAAGGAATTCTGAAGCAAAAAAAAGTACAAAGGTCCAGAGTTACAGGACATCTGAGAGGACACGGTCCCTCCTTCACCTCTGTATTCTTCATGGTCCCTCTCACAGAGCGGCCAAGTGATGACAAATGCTGAACGAGTGCAGTAATTTGTGAGGCTCTGTGAGTAGAGTTAAAACATGAAAAATTTTTCTCAGCCATTATATGACTTCAGAATTAAAATGTGGGCTACTTTGATAGTTTGTTTCAAATTTTGTGTCGTTTTCTCATTATGGCTGGAGAAAAATGAAACTGATTTACACATAATTATAGTGCTATTATTGTAATGAAAATTATGTTATTTCTTGATTATTGTTAAGTTTAAAAATTTGCTACCAATGATTTGCAAACCACTAAATGTCCCACATCTATTTCCATACCTCTGTGTTTCTAAATACTGTGAAAATAATATTCTTTTCAGGTGGTAGAACACTACAGGACTTGACAAATACCACTTTTGTTTCAAATAACGCTGCTAAATCTGAAAATAAGTCAGAAGATCTGTCTTTAGAGCTGCCAAGCCGAAGAAGAAAGTGCACTCCCCTCCATTTCAAAGAGCCAAGTCTCAGGGAGTAAGTATTTCAATCATATTAAAGTGATTTTAGTGTAATATTATAAAATATATACTTTAAAAATCTTTCCTGAATTAGTATTTGAGCACTTCTGAATATCAATAAAACATATATTATTGACATGTAACAACCACAGTATAATCTGAGTAAGATTTGAAGAAATGTCTTCTTTTATTCTTAGAACTGTTTTTTTAAAAAGAGATTGCCTATGATTTGCAAACCACTATTTACATATCTGCTATTCCCATTTTTTTATTTTCTACCTTGTTCCCCAGAAGTGGTTTTCAAAGTGGTTTATATGTCCTTTGGCCTTCAAACATATCTCAGTGAAGAAAAAAATAGTACTTTCCCCATTTACCCGTCCCTCAGTTTCAATAGTTATCAGTATTTTGCCATATTTACTTCATCTATCTTTTTTTGTTGTAGTATTTTTTTAGAAGATTTTATTTATTTTTAGAGAGAGAGGCAGGGAGGGAGAAAGAGGGAGAGAAACATCAATGTGTGGTTGCCTCTCACACCACCGCCCCCCCACGACTGGGGACCTGGCCTGCAGCCCAGGATGTGTCCTGACTGGGAATCGAACCAGCGACCCTTTGGGTCACCGGCCAGCACATGCAGTCCACTGAGCCACACCAGCCAGGGCTGTTGTAGTATTTTTAAAGCAAATATCGGGTCATTTGATTCCTGAAACACTTCTGTGTATGACTCTAAAGTGTATTATTCAGAATTTCATTTTTTAAAATAATTAATGAAACAGCCTGTTTTGTAGAACCTAATTATATTTGGGATGTATTTTCAGCAGGATAGAGAAAAATATCCTTAAATTTTTTCTTTCAGTTGATTTAGTGTTTGCTGCTTTTATAAAATGGAAGGCATGATGGTTTTGACGGGCATTTTAAAACAGTAACCAGCACATGGCAGCAACACAAGAGAAGGTGAAAGAAACAAAAGTTGAATGAAGGACTGAGAGCTTTTTAAAAAAATTCTTGAGCTGTGATTTACATACCACACATTTCATCGATTTAAAGTGTACACAATTCAGAGGTTTTTAGTGTATTTGCCAAAGGCGTATCATTTCCCGCACTCCGTTTTGTAACATTGCTTCGCCTCAGAGAGAAGCCCCCTGCCCTTTAGCTGTCACTCCCGCCCCCCACCAACCGTTCACCTGCTTCTTGTCGCTCTAGGGTTCTCTGTTTTAGACACTTCACGTAAATGGAATCATAATATGTGGTCTGTCTTTGTGACCGGCTTCTTGCACTTAACATGATATTTTCAAGGTTTATCCATGTCATGGCATGTATCAGTATTTCATTCCTTTTTAGGACTAAATAATATTCCATTGCATAGATAGAATATACATTCTGATATATGCCACATTTTATTTACCTACTTGTCTGTTGATAGACATTTGGTTGTTTTCACCTTTTAGTTATTATGAATAATGCTGCTATCAACAGTCTTTTGCAAATTTTTGTGTGTACATGTTTTCATTTCTTTCGGGTATATGCCCAATTGCTGAGTCATGTGGTAACTCTACATTTAATTATGTAAGAAACTGCTAGACTGTTCTCCAAAGCTACTGCATCATTTTACATTCCTACCACCGAGGTATAGGTGTTATGATTTCTCCATATCCTTACCAACACACTTGTTATTGTTTGACTCTCTCATCATTCTAGCCATAGTAGTGGGTATGAACTGGCATCTTACGGTTTTGATTTGTATTTCTCTAATGACTAATGATGTTAAGTATCTTTTCATGCGTTTATATCTTCTTTGGAGAGCTGTCTATTCAGATCCTTTGCTTTTTTCCAATTGGGTTGCCCTTTTATAATTGAGTTGCAAGTTAAACTTTTTATTTGGAACTAATTTTAGACTTACTAAAATGTTATAAAGAGAGTACAGAGGTTCCTCACCCAGCTTGCCCTCATTTTACCATCTTTACCTACAGTACAATGATCAGTTGAGAATTTTAGCATTGATATATTACTATTAACTAAACAATAAACTTCCACTAACATCCTTTTCTGTTTGAGAATCCTACCCAGGATGCCATATACGTTTAGTTGTTGTTTCTCCTTAGACTCCTCCAGCCTGTGACAATGTCCCAGTCCTTTCTTTTCTTTCATTACTTTGATACCTTTGAAGACTAGTCAGTGATTTTGTAGAATACCCCTCAAAACCGCTTGTCTCTTGTCCTCTCATGATTACGATGTGTTAGGCATTTTTGGCAAGAATTCCACAAAAATGGTATGTTCTCTCTGCATCATATTTGGGGGTTTATTATGTCAATGTGTCTAATTACTAGTAATATTAACCTTGATCACTTGATTAAGGTGATGTCTGCTGAGTATTATTCACTAGAAAGTTATTGCTTTTCATTACAGCTAATGAACATTGGGGGAGATACTTTGAGTCTGTACCTCCTGTTTCTGCTCATACTTTCACCACTGATTTTAACATCGATTGGTGGAGCTTGTCTGCAACAATTCTACTGTGGCGTTTGCCTAGTGGTGATTTCTCTCTCCCTCTTTCATTATACAATAATTGGAATTCTGTAGGGAAGAGCTATTCCCTTTCCCTCATTTATTTAATTGCTAAAATCATTCCAACTTTGGCTATTACAAGTTTCTCCAGGTTGACTTCTGTGTTCTTTCAACAAGACCTCCTATTATTTTGAGCACATTCTTATTTTCTGACACATAGATGTTCCAGGAGCAGATGTTTTTTTCCTGTCCTAGCCACCAAATCAGTCACTTCTTCAAAGATCCCGGTTTCCTTAATTGAATAATTTTGTTTAAAAACCAGAATCAGATTCTGCTGTATTAGTTATCAAATGCTTCATGACAATATTATCATAAACCTAATACCTTAAAACCGTATATACATTTATCTCTCCATTCCTCTGGGCCAGGAACCTGGGCCTGGCTTAGCTGGCTGCTCTGCCTGGTATCTCACAAAGCTGCAGTCACGGTGTTGTCCAGGCGGCTTCTCACCTGGGGCTCTCTTGGGGAAGAATTTGCTTCTAGGGTCACATAGGTTGTTGGCAGAATTCATTTCCTTGTGGTTTCCGGACAGAGGGCCCCAGTTTCTTGCTGTTGGCTGGAGGCTATCCCCAGGTCCTAGAGGCCACCCCGGCTCCTTGCTACAGGAGCCTCCCAACGTGGCCATTTACTCAAAGCTGCCCCAAGAGAGCCTCTAGAGCAACTCCTGTAGCAAAATGGAGTCTTCTATAATGAACTGTAATTACAGAAGTGAGACATCGCATCACCTACCTCTGCCATATTGTATTGTTTACATGCAAGTCACAGCTCCTTTCTTACTCAAGGAGAGGGAATTACACAAGGGTATGAACTCCAGTAGGCGGGGATCGTGGGGAGGAAGGTCCTCCCTAGAGTCTGGCGATAAACCTGGCTCTCATTATCTATAACATATTTACTTATCTGTTATATTTCTGGCATACACTATATAAAGTAGTTTCAAAATTGCTAACCCATATCCCTGCGAGAAACATATTTACTACTAAATTATAACATTTAGATATAGTTCTTTTTGTCTTAGGTTAGTTCTTTTCTTACCAACCCCTTGAATATAATTATGTTATTCCTTTTGCAATTTAGTTAGGTACATTTGTTATTGTTTATATTCCATTTTTTTCCCTCCCACATTGTAGTAGTGTTTCTTGGATTGTGTAAGTCAGAGCTGTACAGAATGGCATATGCAGGGAAGGGCCAACTCCTTTCATGCCTGCTGTCCCCTGTCCATTGCTCCTTGTTTCTGTCCTACTTTCACCCACCTCCTGCGGGCAACCAGTTTCTTTAGTTTGTGGTTTGTCCTTCCTCTATTTCTTTTCCACAAATAATTAGATAATACATATGTATATCCCTTGTTTTCTTGCATAAGGGTAGTATTTTATAGCTACTCTGTTGAGCTTCTTTTTTTTCCCCTCTTTAACAATGTGTTCTGGAAATCACTCCCTACCAATTCATGGAGATTTTTATCATTCTTTTTCACAGCTGAAGAATACTTAATTGTGTATAGATGTGCTATAGTTTATTTAATCATATTCTTATATGTGCATGCTTAATTTTTTCTAATATTTTGCAATTATAAATGATGCTACATTGAATAGTCTTGTGCAGATATCTTTTCATGTTCTTGGGAGTGTGTCTTCAGGGTCAATTCCTAAAAGTGGCTTTGCAAGGGTGAAAAATAAGCATATATGTAGTTTTGTTAGGTATTGCCACACTGCCCTCTACAGGCTACTACCAATTTTCATTACCATCAGCTGTATGTGGCACTGTTTTCCCACAGGCTAACCAACAGAACATGTTGTCATACTTTAAATATTTTGCCAGTCTGATAGGCAAGAAATGGTATCTCGGTGTTTTATTTACATTTCTCTATAAGTGAGTTTAAATGTTTTCCTCACACTTCAGGGCCACTGTATCAGTTTTTGGTCTGTTCATATCTTTTTCCTATTTTTAATTGGTTTTTTAGTCTTTGTCCCTCAGTTATTAAAAATTCTTTGTGTATTAGGGTAATTAGCCCTTGTACTATGTGTAGCAAATATTTTTTGAAGTTATCTGTTATCTTTTGACTTATGTTTTTTAATTATGTAATTTTTTTAAATTTTTATGTGGTTAAATTTGTCAATCTTTCCTTTAATTTTCTTTGAATTTTAAGACATAGAGCACCTTTCTCTATTCTGCGGTTAAAGAGAGATTCACCCATATTTTCTTCTTTATTTATATAGTTTCATTTCTTACATAAATCCCTAGTCCATCATTATAGCATGTGGTATAAGATATGGATCTAATTTTATCTTTTTTTCCAAATGGCTACCAAACTGTCCCAGCACCATTTATTTATTTGAATCTTACCCCAAAGATTTGAGATGTCAACTATGTCATATCCTAAATTTTTGTCATGTATTTCTGAGGAGTCTAATGCTGGACTTTTTATTCTATTGCAGTGGTCTACCTGTTTAGTATAGAGGCTTTT